AGCGAATATCATAGATATCTTTCTCATATAACAAAGCTTTTTGTTGGCTTTTGCAGAGAGGCACGTTTGCATGGGAAACTAATCGATAATGTTGCAGAAATTATGCTACCTTCTGAGGTACGATCCATCTCTTTCTGCAAATATAACTATGTATACGCGAATGTATATAATATTTTATGTATGCATTGCATTGTCGATTTCTTTTCATCAAGTCACCCCAAAACCTCAAAAGGGGTGCCACAAAAAGGGCTTTCATTAAAGTTTGCTTTAGGAATTTTCAAAAGTAAAGGGTATTTTCGTTATTTAGACATTTATTAGGAAAAATAAGAAAAACCTAACACCATTGACATTGACCATGATGAGTTGTTTTTGTTTTGACCTTTGACACGCATATATTGTGACCTGTGAAAGCTTAAGCCTTGAGGTGCGGTTATCTAAGTTTGGCTTATAGGCCAATATGGGCAAAAGCAAAACCAATATGTATATATTTGTGTCAATGTCAAACACTAGTACTTAAAACCATAGATAGGGTAAGCTTAGATCTTTAAACCCTAGTTAAACATTGAAATCACTTTCACTTATTATGTTGCATGAGTTTCTGCACTTTTTATTATAGTAATCAAGACTTAAATCTTGAATTAAAAGATTCTGACGAATTGTTAGTAGAGAATTTTTTTCCGCTAGACATAAATTATTATATTTTAAATTCTGTTTATTTTGCTTCACATATACACACTGACCTTTTTACCTTTCCCAATAAATACATGTCCATTCATCTACATTCACATGTTGACCATACTCATTGTACATACAAAAAATCCAAACCATTAACTTAGACAAAGTCTAGCTAATGGTGATTAGTGATTCATTGTTTGTGTTTTGGGGTTTCATTAAACAGAAGGAAATAGATGGGAAGTGCTCAAGTTACGAGAGGATATCATCAGAAGAAATGAGCTCATCAAGCATATCGGGAACAAGCCCCTTCAAGCCTAGTCTTGAATTTACTCTGGGTCGATCTCTCTAAAATTATTATTGTAGCTAGCTAGTAATTAATTAGTACTATTACTTAACTTCTATTTTGACTAGTGACTAGAGTTTCGATATTCATATCAATTGAATAAGTTTTGTTTTAAGCTTAAAGCTTATTTATATTCCCTCTTGGAAGGTTGGAAAAACACTGTTCTTTTTCCCTCTTTCTTGAGAAGAGTTAGTGAAAGAATCGAGTACGAGAGGCACAATAAATGTTATGTTTCTTTTGTTGAACCTTTATTTGTATTTAACAATCGGAAGTTAAATTAAAGGAATGGATATAT